GTTCAGCGGAGGGATGGGGCTCACGAGGACAACACCCGCCACAAGATCACAGAAGCTTTCAAGTTCCAACAGCTGCCCCGAAGAGTTCAGCACCCAGCGGCGACAGTCTCTCTCACGCTGGCGGCTCGGTGGGCGGCTGTCGCCTTGGAAGATGAAGCGAGGGTGGACTCCAGCAGGTTTTTTCCGAGGAAATCTGTGACGGACAATATAGCCATCACCACCCACAAAGCACCAGTCCGATTAGGTATGTGCGCGGTACGGGAGAACCAGTATGAAATTACGGATGGGGGTCCCGAGTCACACGAGGCAAAAAAGTTAAGACGCACGGCAGAGTGATGAAGCTTTCCATAATTACGCGGCGCGCCCGTAAGCTGACATACTGTCCAAGGCAATGCGATCCTTTGCTTCTTCCTATTTCTGCATGGAGCCTGTCGTTTTTTCGCCATGTGCTATGAAATGATCTGGCATCCTTGCGCCTGCTTTTGTTGCAGCGGGGCATCCTCCGTTTATGTCGTTTCCAGAAGCCAGTCAGCTCTTGGTCTACCTTCTCTCTTGTAGAAGTTAATTCTCAGGCCGGCAATTCCAAATTCAAAGACCACTTACCAGCGCCGATCATATCAATCCGCTCCAAGGATGTGCCTGCTAACAGCTCGATTCCAGCACACGGAAAGCTTTTGAATGCCGACTCCATACACACTGACTTTTTGAATTACACTGTCATTAGTCTGAATTCTATTCACATGGAAGGGCGGTATCTTGAGAAGTTCGACTGATTTTTCAGTTGGATGGCATCTAATTTCTTCAGCTCGCTGTATAGATTCAAGCCCGTATTTGATATTACAACCGCATTACAAGCTTGTATTTTCCATCTGGTACTAATATTTGCCTATTCTGTTATTGATTCCTGCCTTGTTGTTAACACGGGTAAGTATGGAGACGCAGAGTTTCCGTAGGCATACCAAGCTCACAAGGCTGATCAGCAAGTATGTAGACGATGTTGAATACAGAGCACATCCCTGGTGAAGTGTTTTCGCAGCTGACCTGATGGACCGAGTGGGAAGCTTTCAGGCACGGCCGATTCCCAAAGCTCTCTGAAACCGTTAACACACAAGAAGTCTGCACAGAAAGGTTCATCGTAAAGCGGTCCCGCTCGTAAATGACACCCTTGTCATCTGGGCATGCAAAGACAAGGACCGAAAAAAAACCTTCCCAGTTGTTCCCTCTCGGCACTTGAGAGAAGGGTACCCAAATGAGGCTCCCTCGCTTCCCTTCCGGCATCCTCATAACGACAGATATGGTTATACCTGATAACATAAGATAATTTTGGAAAGTCTGCAACCCATACGAAGGCCTGAATCAACAATTTTTGAGCCCAGTAGCCACGGCTGTCCCGGCCACGGCTGTCCCGGCTGTCGGCGCGGCGCTTCGGCGAGGAGAGGACCATCCTCGAGGAAGGTGACATGCTCATCTGTTATCGCGCTGAAACCCCTTCCTTCCCAACAGCCAAGAAATGCTCGTCCCTTCACAACGGCGAGGCCCGCTGTGCCAGGCCTTGACCCCAGAGCCTCATCACGCGGGCTGCGAGGAGGCGAGGAGGCCTGGCACAAAGCTCCAGCACCAGCACCAGCAGTTCTTTGATACCACTCGCTGCACTTCAGAGGAATGCCATGCCAGAAGCTGTTGCTCACAAGAACTTTTCTACAACACGAGTCACAAGCGCGCATACACCTCCGAACTGGCTCCTGGACTTAAAACAACGTATACCCCAGGCGCGGCCTGAAACGCGGGCTTGCCAAAGCAAAGCTACATAAAGGCTTACAGTAGCTTTAACACTGAATGCGTTGCTGGCGTTTGGCTAGTTCTCCTTCAGCAGCATTTAGGTTGTATTCAGCTTGGTCCCAGCTTTGATTTTACTTCCTCTGCAGGGCCAGATCGCGCGGAGCGTGGAAATGAGTCTTCTCTCGGAGAATCTGAATAAGCCAAAACAAAGCTGAATAGAAGCTACGTTAAAATTCAGTAGGAGCCAAGTGAAGGCTTGATAGAACTGTCTTTAGCCGTTCTCTGCGCACCAGCAGGAAAACTGAATTCAAATGAATCTTATGAAATCTTCTGTTGCCCAGCCTTCATGTTGCTTAGCTTAACCCCAGACCCCCGAAAGTCCCAAGCTTTTGAGCTCGAGCTTCAAGATGTTTTTAGCCTCCCAGAACACTGTAAAAGCATCAACCCATCGTGAGAATGGCAATCTTCCTTTCAACAGGCTTCCAGGCCTCGCGCTCTGAGGGCTCCCTGTCCTCCCAGCCTGCCCAAACAGCTGCAAACTCCAAACTCCAGGGAATTTGTGAAGCCGTTCTACAAGACGATGATTCAGAATCGGGCAGTCAAGACAATCATCCATCCCAGCATGCACAGATAGAGAGGATCGCATGAATTCCACAAAACACGAACCGGACCAAAGAAACATTACACGCAAAACAGCCCCTGATCCCTGAACTCTACAAATCCCACGAATCACCATCAAGTCCTGGGCCCCTCGAAATCCAAAAGTTAAAATGCTGCCAGCACTGCGCGGAAAAAAAAAAAAAAAGTACAGTACGGCACCCCTCAGTGCAGCAAACCCGATGCCCCCTTCCCTCTCCAGACCACTTCAATCATGTCAGTGCAATCACATCACCGCCTGTCACGTATGCCAGAGCACACCATTCAGGTTTGATCCTCCTCCCTGAAGCACTGTGCCTGTATCTTCGCGATCCGCTGGGCGCAGGTGCACGCTTCGCGCCGAGCTCTGGGATGCCTCACAAAATCTCAAAAGGCTTGGCTTGAGCACCAGACTTCCAGCCATTAACCTAACGTTATGACGGGCCCTGGAAAAACCTCTTCAGATTTGACAGCCGGTGAGCTTGTGGGCCACTGAGAATCCCCAATTCATTTCGATCGCAGTTGTGGCAGCGGAGCATCAACGTCGTTCGCCACACCGCTTCCCTGCAATCCATTGCTGAGGGTTGCCCACAACTATGGCAGTTCTACATCCTTGCAGACAGGGTAACAATGGCATGAAGAACATCCTCCTCAGCCCCCAATGCAGGTTTTCTCAATGGCCACTACTGAATGCAGCATAAGAGGCATCCCATGCTTGACTCTCCTCCCATCCATGCCACCTCAGAAAGTCATGGCATGTCGCCTCTGAGGGCCGAACTCTGACCGAGAGCGGGCTGTATGGAGCAGGTGATGGCTGCAAAGGTGCTATCCCCCAATAGCTTCGTTTCGAGATACGCCAAGCTAAACACATGATGGTTAAAGTGGTGTCTTTGCCAAAGCCCTCCTCAGCACGTGCAATTTGCCCACAGCACCCGTGCTTGCAAGTTGGTCCATTCGAGAAGTGCCTGGTTGCGTGATAAACGTGACCGACTTGTGCTGGTGACGCACTATGCGGAGCGGACTTCCCCAGCAGCCTAGATGATGCTGAAGCGCAGGATGACCCAAATGCATGTATGGGCCAGCGACTATGGCAATGACTATGCATGCGAGGAAACATTCTCCTTTACACGAGGCAAAGAATGTGTGTGGACGATTTGCACTACGGACCATGGTTATCCTGATCTTGAAGCCCCAAACCCCAAACTTGCTACACCAAGATCCCCCCTAAATTAGGACCAACTACAGAGGGGAGTGTCCCAGGGGAGAGTTATACAAAGGGCCGATTCTGTAATTGCCTTACATCGAATCCCCGGAGTGTTCCCCATAACCCGCCTCATCTAACACATACTTTCCTGGATACACTGACCTTTGGTTAGCTAGTAGTTATGGAATGAATCCGTATAGTAGTCCCTATATAACCTATTGCAGTAGTTTCCATTTTCTTTTCAGGCCTTCCAAGACCTAAGACCTAGACCCCTAAACTCTACATAATCCCTGTATTCCCTGCACTTCCCATTTTCTTTTCCATTCCTTCATTCCCAGCTAACCAAGGGCTACTACATGGCCAAGGCTCTGCTGCCCACGGTCTCGCCAATAGTAATCCTCAAGCAGCATGCTTGGTTTAGGGTACGTAGGGTTTCGGATTTAGGATTTAGAGTTTAGGGGTCCATGGAATCCAAGCTTTCACCTTCAGCGATCGTCTCAAGATTGCCGCCACCCCCCAAGAAGTCAAAGAAAAACATCTAATTGACTGCCTGGAAGTACCACCAGTATGCGTACAACAGCCTGAAGAAGTGATCCGCCCTCTTGACCTTCTTCCGCCCGGCCCCAGATGACTGTCATTTGGGAGGAGGCTTTTTTTCAATCTGAAGAATCTGGAGAGGTATAACGCAACTGCTCCATCAACTCTGCCACTAAATGATCCAGTCCGACATCCAACCAACTGCCTGTGTTTGCTGCTGGGGGGCTTCCCAGCCGCTTTTTGGAGTCCCAGAGTCCCAGGAGCCCCATGGCATGGCTTGGGGGGCAAAAAGCAGATCTCAGTTGATGTAAAGGCGGGGCTTGTGTAGGCTTTCTGGCTTTGAAACATATCATTGGAGACGTTGTGTTGAAGAGCTAAGAGGATAGGGTCAGCAGTTCAAGGCTTCTTGTGGTAAGTCGGTTGGGTGTGGGGCGGCCGCACATGGGGCAGCCACAGCTAGCTGGATGTCAGTGCAACGAGCGGGCTCAGGGAAACCACATTGAAAAGGGAATCACCCAGGCGTTGTTGTCATGCATTCTGGCTTGGTGTGGGTGGGGCTGCATGCGGTGCACCATCTTTAGGCTTAAGCCAAGAGTTGTTTAGTCATGGTTGGGGCTATTCAGCTTGAAGCTGGAATGGCTGCAGCAGCATCAGCGCTATGGCTACCGAATGCGCCACATGAGCACGTCCTGCCAGCCCGCTGCTTACCCGCCCAGACTGCGCGTTGTCTTTCAAGCTTGGGAACATGATTCCAAAGAGGCCTATCCCTCAGCTTCAGACAAGCAAGCTTCCACCCTTAGAACGCACACGAAAGATCCAGATCTTGTGATCTGCGCATGCCCACCTCGAAGACGCCCCCTGAGATCTCCAGCACAGAGATGTCGAAGGTGCCACCACCAAGGTCGTACACAGCCAAGACTTGGCCGTCCTCGAAAATCTAATTTTGCATACAGCACCCCAAGTTCCCCACACAGCTGTAATTGGATTGCCTGATAGAATATGAAGTCCTTTCTACAAAACTCAGAAGCTACTATCGGCAGGATAAGGCTCTATTTGCAAAAGCTGCTGGACAGCTGGTACGCTGTTGAGGGTAGTGTATGTCAGCAAGGCATGGAATTCTTTGGGAGGTTCTGTTGCCCGAGGCCCGCGAACCTGCTTCTCCATGCCGAAGGCAAGCGCTGCTGCTGTAGGTTCATTGATGATTCGCGAGACCTGCAAAAGTTCGCCCGCATCACTGATACACTAGGTTTCGGTACAACTTGCAACAATGAAACAATGGCACCAGCATAGCACATGACACGAGGGATCCATCCAATTATTGCCCCAGCAGCTGCCCTATCATACCTTCCAAGCTGCATGACGGACCAGCAAGTTTAACAGGCTAAGGAAAAACCCACGAGAAGCGCGAGGTTGTCCAGCTGCAGCAACAAAAGCTTCAACTCCGGAGCACTAACACTCTCAAAGTCTGGAGATTGCGGTTCCTAACAATTGATTGGACAGCAGCACCTCCAGGCCGGAGATCTTGCCAGCATCCTTCCTTGGCAGAATTTTAAAGACATGCCAGCCGCTCGGTTCTTGCTGTAAGTGCTACTCTGCAACATCTCGTTGGGTCCTCACTGCAATGCTTGGGATTGGCAGGTGCCAGCTTCACGCTGCCGCGTGAACGAGGACCCAAGTTTGAAGAGTTCAGGGCAAGTGTTGCGTGCCCACTGTTCGTCAGCAAACCAAGCTGCATGGGACAGACCTTTGGAAGCTCAAAAATCATCTCATCATTTCTATCGGACATACGACTCCCACCTGCACAACATGTCACTGCAAATAGTCCTTTTGCCGAGTTCCAAAGGTGGCCGCTTTCACTTCATCACCAGCGTGACTGACTTTGCTCAGAAAGAAAATAAGAGCAAAGGATATAAGGCAAGGTAACTTCAGCCTACTAGGGGCCCTTGGCCTGGCGCAAGAATGTTGAGCAAAGGGAACAGACTGATCAGGAGAAACATGGACACTGTAACCGTACCGGCTCCTAAGCCCAGTCAATCTTTCTCAGAGCCTGAAACGGGCTGCCAGGCTTCGTCGCTTGGCGCTGTGCATCGTTGAAGTAGGCTGGCACGGTGATGACTGCCTCCAGTGTCATGAGACTGGGCTTTGGGACATATGGCACACTGCATCACATGAACCGGAATGAGAAGCGGGCAGGGGGATCACGACTGGCACAAGCATGCTTACGGCATGTTCGAATGTCTGCATTGCAGCCTTGATCTGTAACGGGCGACCAACCACCTTCATTATCTTGAGAAGCTCCGGATCATGCCATTTATGCATGGACCGTTTCGTTTTAAAAGTGGGTGCCGCACTTCAGCATCAGTTGCCCAGGCGAATTTGAAGGGACCTCCTAGCCTTGCCGACATTGCGTCCAAGATAGCTTTCGGCAGTCTCCTTCCTTAGCACGACCATTGGGCTACACAAGCTCGAGCATGTTTAGAACCGCAGTTGCACACAGAGACGCAAAGAGAGCAAGAGAGATAGAGAGGGGATGGAGGGAGGAGAGAGAGAGAGAGAGAGAGAGAAAAGACAGAGAGAGAGCGAGAGGGAGACACACACACACACACAGCTTCTTAACAACTTCGCACAACGGATTTGCCTCAGGTTTGCCTGATGCTGCTAGAGCCTGACAAACGCTATGCCGTTGCAGTCTTGAAAAACCAGCCAACCGAGGAAAAAAAAAAAGCTCCTGCTGCTCACTACTCGCTCGTCCCAGCATCATCTTGGTCAGGACAAAGGCACCGATCTGACTAGGTGAATACCTGGGCAACGCCCTAAGTTCTGAGGGCAACAATCAGTTTCACTTGCACAGGCAGTCCACCAAGGACCCATTCTGACGCTTTCGTCTGGATGGTTCACATTGGCATGCGACCGCAGCCATGCAACCAGATCATGCGAGCCTCTGCTTGTACACTGCAGTACGCGAGGTTGAATTGTCAGACACCTCCGCCTCTGTACAAGATCCAGAGCCCCTCGCAGAGTCTCAGGGCCCGTGTCTCAGCCCAGCCGATTTTGAGGCCTAAACAAAGAAGCTCATCTCCCTCCTCTCTCTCTTGCGCTTAACTTATGCTCGTAATACCAGTGCAATTGTTTCGACTAGCAGTATAGCTCTTATCACTTGAGCACTCCGGAGTCACTTTACTACTGGTCTAGCTGTCATGCTCACATGATTGCCATTCTTCCTGCAGTTTCTCCTGTTGCCCCTATAACACTATCATTACCAAAGATGTCCTGTCACTTCGAATGCTGCTCGGCCGGTACCAATATGAGCTTATCCATTGCCAGCTTCATTTCACCCACTTCTTCCTAGTACCCCCACAACGTGTTGTGTCGGTCTAGCCGGTGTCTAGGAGTCCTTCTTTGGCCAAGTAGCTGCTTGCCCTCCGCCTCAACCCAGGCGTCGCCGTTTGGCGCCTCGACTACCAGACCCGGCTCGAAGCCAGGATGCCAGACCAGGAATCCCTTTATCATCAAATCGGATGCAACAGCACCTCAAGCACCAAGTTCCTCTTCTAGGACATTCAAGACATCATAACCTCATGCGGGTTGTACTGTAGATCTTCCCCATGACTCGATCAAACCAGCAACCAGGTCATATCTGTTGAAAACCTCAGTTGTAAGAATAATTTTCGAGCTCCTGTTGGGGTCTTTGCGAGCACTCTGCATGGGTGGCGGTGTATAAGGCATAGGTTATAGGGGACAGAGAACTTGCAGTGTCATACAATTGTGCAACTGAGGACCTGGATGTCCTTGAGATGGATCCGAATCCTCACACCCTACTCCTACTGTTGCAAAGGGTTACAACTGCTGCTACGGCTACTGGTGTCTACAGCTGCGTTTATTGCTCCTCCTCCTCCCCGTCTGCTGCTGCCGGCTGCGGCTACCCCAACATGATATGATATTGGAGTCTGAAAAACAAGAACGGCATTCTCTTTTGAACGCATCTCCTCAGGGCAAGTAATGGGGTATGACAGGAGTGTGGCTGCAGGGTATGGCTGAATGGGTGGAGGGGAGTGGCCGGAGGTAATTGTCTCAAGGGCCAAGGACGAAGCTGGAGGGCATAGGACACTGTCGCTGCTGGAGGGTGCGGCAGCAGGTGTAGGATGGAAGGCCATGCACTGACGCTGAACTGCCCCGAATCATCATTAGCAATAACCAGCAATACTCCATGGACCTACCATGAGTCACAATCGGGTATCGACTGAACTGATACAATACAATTGTGATACAACATGATTCTTCTTGAGATATCTAACTTCTGTGATGAGATCGACTCTTGTCAGCTGGCACACCCTCCTTCACAGGCCTTGATGATCTTGTACGGAAGGATTTTCTTGTCCTTCTGCGTGGCCTTCCAAAAAATTCTTGGGACCATTCCAACATGGAAAACACCATGTTGAGGGTGAAGAGACATAGTCATGCAAATAATTGGGGTTGAACGCGGAAGGTTGCCCGGATTTTTCTACAACTTTCCTTTCATTTTGAAGCCTAGACCTAACACTCTGATGATATCCATAACCACCTTGAAGTTCCCAGGTCTTCCCAAGATCACAAAGCTGGCTTGAAGTCTCCCAGGCAGTTCAGACGTTCCTGCAGCACAAATGCGGAGGATCAAGGGCATATGTGAGTAGCGTACCCGCGGATGCCGCAGAACCAGTTCTTGATTGGACAATGGCCGCAGGTTGGTTTTGTGCGTGTCCACAAAGAAGATGAACAGTGGAACAAGACATACTGGAACTGTGGTGTTCACATCGCATCTTCTTCAGCTGCCTGTCTCGCAAAACCTTATTGACAACCACATCCTGCTCACGCGACCGCCTCGTCGTCGTAGGATCGACCGATCAGCCGCTTAGCGGCGAAGATGGTGTTCTCCTTTTTCACGCTATATGGAAAGCGGGGTGAGCCCAAAGAGACATCAAATTAGAAGCTTTAGCTGATTTGAAAGTGTCTTAGTGCTTGTTGGTGTGTACATAGCCCTATCTCAGGTCCGTGAATGAAAAACTCCCCACCTGGGCTTGCCTCAGAAAAGGATTGGCGACCAAAACGGCAATTTGAACAAAAAGGGCATGGAAAGACAGGACCCCAAAAGTCGTCGATGCCAAGGCTCCGGGTTGGTCACGGCCTGGCGCTTTGCCGGGATGCCGACCTTCGAAACCAATCTTCAAGACATTTTCATCTGATTCTAATACTAGATTTCACGATGATTTGCAATGTCATCGCTACAGTATCTTAGGCACATTCAGAAGCATCAGGAGGAGGAGGAGGAACGATAGCCGACAATCGTCAATGATGACAACAGTCACGCGACAAAAACCGGAAGAACAACATTCATAGCACGCCGCCGGCTTGCTTACAGCTTGACCAACAAACAAAGCAAAACAGCGCATAATACAGCTTGGTTGCCAGTCTCTGCTCACTGCCAAAGCCGATGATCGAGGGTGTGGTGCGCATGCCCTCACCTGAAAATCACCGCGCTCTCCAGGTTTCTGCCAATGATCATCTCTAAGTGTGGGCTTGAGACTTCGAAGAATCGAAGAAGCAGACCCAAGTGGAGGCAGCACAAGAAGCCCACTTTGGAACTGGGAAGCATCTCACTATAGGCCAGTAGGCATTCAACTTTACGATACTTTAGGACAAGAAGAAACCCTACCATAAGATCAAAATGTTTGCCTTTGAATGCTTCTTAGTCCCTAACACTCAGGGAGCCGGATGAGCAGGAGACTTGACGGTGTAAGATCTGACGCAACGAACACTGCGGACAAGACCTCACAAAACCAGGCCAGGTGCTGTTCTCGATGACTTTTGGGGCAGCGCCTTCCATCACGGCTACGCCTTGGCTGCTCCCTGCACCCTCCTATCCATGGACATGAAGAGAACACTACCGCTCAAACACGCTCATAGCTCCCTAGACATGCTCTTTGAAGCGCATCCAGAAACCCAAGGTTAGACATGGATGTTCTCTGGCAACTTCCACGGCAACAGCTCTTAGTTTGTCAACCGTGCCTGCAGAGAAGCTCTGTAACATGGCCACCGTGTCAATCTTGCAAGCTATCCATCACCCCAGCTTGTGGCAAGTAGTATCGCTATTCCCCCTTAGCCAAGTGCAGGAGTTTGTTGTGCCCAAGTCAATGCCGATGATGTCAGCACCGGCCTGGAGGAAACGCATCCCACGACAAAAACAGATCAAGGGGTTTGAGGACTTCGCATCACACCTTCAAAGTTGAGCATTTCCTGCGGGTCTGGTGTTCGAGGTTTCTTGGAGGGCTGCAATTTAGGCTTTGCTTGAGATTCCAGACTCACACGTCTGGACATGAAGCAGGCACAGGTGCTTCAATCTCAGAATCTATGCATTGGGGCATGCCTTCAAAACTATGATGTAAAGTGTTGATCATGTTTTTAATACTCTTTCGAGCTGAAACCTTGACTTGACGAACAGCATGGCTGATTTCTGAACCAGGTTTAATTCCCTCTAACAACTTCACCTCATCTCCCTGCGGCGTTTGAGCCCAGTTTCTGAGATGTTGAATCCGCTCCCGTTAGCCATGCCAAATCTTTCAGACGTTAAAAAGCAACTGCAAACATATTCGAGTTTGACGAGTGTCAACGAAAGCGCACTGTAGGATTTCTGATGTGGGGCTGGTACGAACGACTCTAAATGCCGTCAGCAAATCCAAAAAACAAATGCAGACTATATGTAAGGAAACTCCTTACAATCCAGTCAATGACTGCAAACCAAGGGGGGGCTGCCCGGGAAAGCCAGGCACCAAATACCACATAGACTCAATGATATCTCAGAAGAGCAGACTGTCAGCCCCATGATTACACGAATCGGCACCAAAAACTAAAGCACGTTAGAAAACACTAGCAAGGTGTAGGCTCCATTCCTTCGGATGATGCAAGCCCCTGATCTCTGGAAAACTCTCTTTGCGACACGCCTGTCGCCGCGCACCCGAAGCGCTCCTGGGCTGCGGCGAAGCCCCCAAAGCATCTCTCGCGGAAAGGCCGGGGATCAAAAACTTGATAAAGGAGAAAAAGTGTGCCCATGATTGAAAATCTTGCCTTTCGCAGATGATATACTGCGAACCGTAATATTTTGGGTCGCGCAGAGGCTGCAGACACTGTAAATCGCAGATTTTGGCCTGCGTAGAGGCCAAACATGGTGATGATGTGATTCTTCTGTTTTACCGCAAGGATGGATGGCCTTACAAAGCGAATGAGGTTGGGAGGGAGTCGCAGTCCCCCCCCATGTGCAAACAAAATGATGCGCACAACCTGCCTGTACTGCAAACTGACTGCAAACATGGTGATGGCATGATTCGTCTTTCGTACCACAAAAGCGGTCCTTCTTTTTTGTCCCTTCTTTCTGTGTCTCCTTACTGTTCTCCGTATGTTATTTCTTTATTTGTTCCTTCTTCATGTTGTCGCGCATGTTGTTCTGCAATTTCGCTCCTTCTCTCGAGTGGTTGGAAACCTGTTATTCGCAGCACCTCCAATCGGTACCGGGAGGCGCTGGGAGGCCCTGGGAGGCATGGAGAGCCTAAACACCTTCTACAGGATCTTCAAGCCACCAAAAATGTAGCATACAACCATCAAAACTGTCCGTCCTAATGTAGACCCATGATTAATAGTCCGCATCCTTTGAAGGGCCTTAATATTAGGATCCCTATTATGATCCCCATTAAGGGAGAGAGTTGATTAATCATGGGTCTACATTACAGGAATTCCTTCCGTACCAGACACAGATATCCAGAAGGCGGACATGAAGAACCACCCGCGACCCTTGTTGCAACTCCCAATGCTTCCTCCAAAAACCTCTTTTTTTGGCCAGGGCTCAGGAAGCCACGCCGGGCCACGCGCCGCGCCACGGAGGCCGCGGAGGGCAGCCGCATCATCCTGCAGAGACTCCAAAGGCCCAAGGAATAACAGAGTGGCACACGAGGACCTTCCCAAGTTGGCAAGAACTTCTGTGGGGACCCTTCTTTTGATGGGGAGCAGATGCAGGGACCCATAGTATACACTATTGTGGGCAATCCCACATGAGTGGCATACTGCTTGAGGAAAGTCGCTATGAAGAATCTTCCAATGGTAGCTTGCAGACCTCATCCATATCAAGGTGTCTTCTGTTGAGGGGCCTGTTCTAATTCTGTACATGCTTGACACAATAGCTAATAGCTCTACGAATGGCGAGCAATGTTGAACAAGAAAAAGGGATCAACACGGTGTACTTGATGCAGTAGTGATTCTGTGGGAATGGCACGGTAAACCTACATGCACTTATCTGAAGAAGCATGAGTCGCTCCAAAGTCGACGCCACATGTGCAACCATGTTTAGGGTCGGCAGCAACCCCAGTCAAAACAAAAAAATGTATGCTTCACACCCAGAGCCCAGCCCTGCGCAGTAGCCCTGAACTTGCGGGCAAGCATTGCAAGCGTTCTTCAATTGAACCTTGAAAGGTACATGTGAGAGATCTTGATACTCTACCCAGCAGTCTCTAACAAGGCCATTGACGTCCTGGACAGCGCCATGCCTACAGAGAATCCAGATGAGGATAGCTGAGCAGAAAACTGCAAGAGTTCGTCGAATCGCAGCGGGCTTCTGCTGGCTGGAACTTGCTTCGCAGGACTTGGGAGCTCTTTAACACCAATTTCACACCTGTACTCCGGAACAGCAATAAAGCCGCAGCCCCATCGCGCATAAACTGAAAGGTATAGCAAGTCTTACTACAGCGGTAACATCAACTGTCATCTTCATTGAGCGAAACAACAAGTGAGAGGTAGTTGATTAGATCGATGAAGTTAACTTCACCATCCTACGGTCGGCTGAGGGGGTGAGATCTTCTGCATATCTGTCCTACGGCAGGTGAAGGCAAACGCGTTTGTGCTCATAACATTGGAAGCCATCACCAATGCGGGTTAAACCCAAACTTTAACAGGGAAAATTGGAAGCGCGGCCAGTTAAAGCGTAGCTTCCAGAAGACGTGCAGATGTGGTACGCGTGCCTGCACCCTGCGCCTCTGTCTGTCCACATAGGGATAACTACCATTTACAACCGTTAATTATGGCATTGGGCGACATAGCTCGCAAAATAATGTTGGACCCAGTTTTGCCCAAGGGTCACTTGGGGAAGTTGTTGTAAATCTGCTGTCGGTTTGGAAGCCCGGATTACTGCAAGGTTTTAGCAGCCAACTTCCAGATGTGCCTTCCCCTTGTTGCTTCTGGTGAAGGAACCAAGCGCATTTACCACACCGAGCTGTCTACCGTCTTTAAGGGTACTTGAAGACCAATTTCAATAGACAAGCAAAGCCGTCGCAACCAAAAAACGCATGCAAGCGTAGCGTACCTGCATCTGATGGTGTGTAGACCGCAAGGCGAGCTACAGGGGGCAGTCCGTGGAGAGCCCCCATTCACGTTGCAAGCTGAGGAATTTGTTCAAGCAGTCCTGATGTCTCAGTTCTGATTTTCATGGAATAACTCGAGAATAGTAAATCTTGGCCGCAGCACTTGGGGTCTCGGGTAATGGACAATCCACGCAGCAATTGATTCCTCAGCTATACCCTCAGCAGCAATGCCATCTCGCCACGCAACCAGCTTCTGGCCCCCGTTTTTGTTTGCTTCTGGGCTTGGTTCTGGCCCCCCATACATCAAGTTCCGCATCTCATAATAAGAAATAATCCCAATACAGAACCACTATACACTGTCAAGGAATATTCTTTCCAGGGGGGCTGGGATGTCTCATGGTCATGTAGGGGGAGGGGCTTGCCAGCACACCTTTGAATCAACACTATGACGAGAAGACAAAGCAAACACTGAGGCTTTGCATGGAGCTTGGCAATCCATTGGAGAACCTGCGGCAAATCATACTGACTGAGCAGGGGAACGTACGGACGTACGTACTATAAGAAGAACATTTCTGGATGGTGCTTTTGAGGTCAGTGATTGGTATCCGTGCCAACACGTGCCAACAGCTCCAAAGAATAGGCCCTGACCTCGTGCAAAATGGCAGGCTGCCACTCGACTCTTGCCACTATTCTTCATGACCTTTCGCAGACAGGCTGCTGGATGTCCTGCACTAAGGGGCCTACCAGGTGCACGGGCCATATTTTGCGGTGGTTTTCGTTTTCCCTGGATTTTGCTGGGATTTCAGAAGCACGAGCCTACCAAATGCAGAAAAAACTACTTGGTTTATACACTTTTTAGGGTTTAGATGTAGACTTTTCTTTGCCAAACGTATGCTCTCGAACATGGATGTTATCATGGTTTGGGCAGGGATGCTCTGGTAAACGTATGCTCGAAAACCCTAAAAAGTGAAAATTTTGCACGAAACACCACGGCAAAATATGGCCCGTGCTCCGCCTACCAGGCCTACCAGTTAGGAAGCATGGTGCATGCCCTACCGTTCGCGAAGATGGCTCGTTGTTGTGACACGAAATTGCCTTTCATAGTCCTACCCCTTTGCAAATCTCTTCCTCGAATGCCAACAGAACTGCCGAAAAGCTGAACCCCGTCAAATTGTCAAGTGGTTAAAACCTCCCTGCTTCGAGACCCAGAGCCCTGGCAATCGGCTTAGCCGAAAAGCCTCTGGGTGAGAACCGCGCGGAAGATACTTCCAAACTCGGGGCCCCTTCTCAGGGCCGAGGGGGCTGTCTAAATGACTTTTGCAGCGCGGGGATGCTGCAACGTTGTTATCGGCGTGAGGGCAGTGGTATTGGGGCTGATGATCTGCAGTTGGGGTAATCCTGGGCACTGTGGGATGAAAATCAGGCCCCCTGTCATCCGGAAATCTGGGACAAACTAAAATAACTGGGCGGAATTGTCGCAACT